TCCTAAAATATCACTACTATTTTGATCAATAAAAAAATATATCACAACTATGATAATATGTATAATTAACTATGTTTTAGTTGAATTTATGAACTGTTACAATTGACCCCGTAAGTGGGGACAATTGTAACAAGTGCACGACTGTCAAAAATTGTTAATAACTGATATAATAACATTTAAAATAAGGTATTTATTTTTTTTTCTAGTAGAAGATAGTCTACTTTACTCGTCTGTCAATTAATACTAATAATATGTTGGATTTTTTGTTAGTTAAAAATAGTTAAGTAAAAAATGTTACAATTGACCCCACTCTCCCCTACCTATTCAAACAAGAAATATTGTACTTACAATTTAACATAACATCGCATTCCATCTTTTATTTATACGTCGTTCCTTAATTACTAATATAGGCTTAGAAAACTGGAGCTCATGTCAGAAACCTACCAGTGGTAATCATGAAAAGCGATTGTGATAAGTTAACATGTTTTAAATTAAGTAAAATTGAAAAAAATAAAAATATAACTTTTTTGCGGTTTATGTGCGAAAAAGATATTGCAGGAGTAACTCATAAGAACCGAGTTGCGATAGTCTCAGTTATTTTGCAGATATCATTTATATAAAGCTTTATAAAGTAAGAACTGTTTTTAAATTTCTTTACAGAAAGCAGATGAGAAGTCAACTGTTTTCGAATAACAATAACTAATTAACGGTTGACATTTTTATTTATGTTATATTTTATAAGTGAGGAGGCAAAGACCACCCTATCTTTGCTCTTCACTATCTCTCGGAATATATTCTGAATATGACGCCATTTTTTATTATGAATTAATATAAATATTGCTCGTCTGGTTCCGTACTATCACCCTTCTTATTCTTTTAAAATAATAATTTAGTTTCTTCATTTAAACTCTTTTTTTTTTCTTCAAATAAAGACCGAAAACGTATTAGATAATTATTTTTATTCATATTTTTTTTTTAAATATTTACATACTGAAGGAAATGAATGATTAAAAACTTATTTTTTAATACCATTTTTATTTAAAAACACTAGTTATCATTCTCGCAATTTCGTTTCCTATTTCGAATGACAGCAAATATAATTAGTTTGAACTTTATTGTTCAAAAATATAGACATATAAATATCATCTTCCTAGACAAATTTTTTTTTAATGTAGTGAAAAATGCAATTCAAACTTGATAGCCGAAAATAAAAATAAATCTATATCCTCCAGCAAGAAGGAAACCCTGTTAAGTACCCTTATCTTGGTAAGAAATAAAGAGCTACAAGTCCCAGCATAGTCACTTTATTATACTTGCATTTCTATTTTATAACAGTAATTAAAACTTTTCAGATGTTAAGATGATTTACAAGATATGGCGTGAAGCTGTGAGACATGTATAATGAGAAAGAAACATAAATTATGTAATATTATTTTTTTCAGATATGTTTTTCCTTTATATGAAATGTCCTTTCTATGGATACCTGTGTTTGCTTGTTTAGTTACATTAATCAGTGGTATTATCGGGAGTTACTTATTAAGTAAGTGTGCATTTCTATTATTAAATGAAAAACTATGTCTTGTTGCTTATAATAAATAAATAAAAAATAAACTATTAAATGAATTAGTGAAGTTTGTCCGATAGTTAAATTCAATTTGCATTCTTTAACAATATATATTTAATCTAAATAATCTTATAAAACTGAAATATCCTGCTCAGAATTTAAAGAGAGATTTATTACTAAACTGTCTGTTGGTTACGCAACTTGTCTTGAAGTCTATGAATGCTTCGTCCTCAACAATTGAGAGCCCTTCGGAAATATTATGAAATGGATCCTTAACCCACTTGTAACTTTTGCTACCAATTTGTCGCTAGCAAGAAAATACATTCTAAAATTCTTTACATAAATCTGCTGCCATGAATATTTAATATGGTGAATTGCAATTAACATGAAAACATATATAACATACACATTCATGGTAGATTCGATAGCTAAAATAGAAGCATCGACTCGAATGAGACTGGCAGGAATTGAAACTGGCGTCATCGAACCTTTTTCCTTACCCCTAAGAGAATACATTTGCTCACATTTGCGCATACTCCATACGGCATTTTGTCGACATTCTAGAATTTTTGAAATAAATCGGAACTTCTCACGAAACCGTGAAAATGCCAGACATGATGGAGCAAATCAATAAAAAAGCACCGGATTCTTGTTTTGTCAATGTTAAGAATCGGTGTTGCCAAATGTTAATAAGTTTCCGTATTCTTGGTAATTTCTAGGATTTAGAATTAAGGTCATAATGCAGACTTAGAGCCAAAATGCTCAAAAACAGATGGAGGCTGCTGCATAAAATATTTGTTTTTGGTTGTATAATAAAGATAATTATGTTCTCTTAAGAAGGCGCGTACTTAAATCTGTCAATAGTATTAAATAATTTTATTTTTATCCGCTCCGTATTTGCTACGTCTTGTTTGAAATAAAGTTTAAAATAATAAATAGAAAAAATAAAGAAATATATGAAATGAAAATATTAAATAATAATATGAAATAAAAATAATGACAGAATAATGAAAAGATAGGAAGAAAAATTACTAAAATAAAATAAAACAACATTAAAAAATATTGAAAAGTATAAATGAAAATCCGGGGGAAAAACATTAATCCCTTCATCAGCTCACACGATTATATCAGCAAGAATAGTGTTTTCTAATATTGTATCAACAGTAAAAGTAAAATATATCAATACAATAGTGTGAGGAGCATAATAAAAACTGAAACAAAATAGAGCTCATTAGTCAATAAATATCACGTGAAAAACAGAAAATAAAATGCAAAGAAAAAACAGAACACGACACTAAACGAAATCTGTAAAGCGAGTAGCGAATTCAAATGAACTTACATGGATGGGAAACTTTCATGAATGATTTAAAATATTTTCGTAATAAGATTGCCAGGTTACAAAATACGAAAACAGAAGCCCGAATTCTGCTGAAAGTGTAAATAGAGGGATTTCGTTTTATAGCGTGTACTGAAAAGCGTTTGATTTGTTAATTACCATGGATTGGCCGGAAAATGGATGTGCGCAAGATAATATTATACTGGATAATTTAGAGAGTTTTATTATTAATAAGTTTTACATTTAATTATACTATTTTAATGATTTTAGAAAACTAACATTTTTTAAGAAAAAAAAGAGCGAAAAAAACATGAATTGTCCATTTTGCGCAGATTTTTAGACACGGATTTGCCCAAAATGGATTTGCATATGGTAAAAATATATAAATTATCAAATAAATATTTAGTCAATTTGTCTATAATAATATACAGTTAACTCAATGATTCTATATATAAATTAAACACTTTAGTTGGGTATACATTGCTTTTTTTTTAATCAAATTTTGAAAGAGTTTGTCAATTTGTTTTTTGTATAAATAAGCATTACTACATATTCTTTTAATTCGATTCATTTGATTAAAAATGGTGTTTAAATTATTATTTTCGTTGCTTCAGTCTATTTTAAAAACATAGTTTATAGTATTTTTATTTTCTTTTATTATTCTCTTTTCTTTTTAAAAATTAAATTATTGATATGTAAGCTTTTATTATAAAAATTGTTTTTTTTAAAGAAATAAAAGGAGTTTTCTGATGAAAGTTTTAATCAAACTTTATCTTCTAGTTTGCTGCATAGCTAAACAGGACGTGCATCCTAAAACGTTAAGTCCAATAGTACGGAGCTTCTATTTCAGAGCGAAATTAAAAACATTCAGTAAAGCAGATCCTGTAGAAATGTTGGTAAGAATTTTAATTTTAAATATTTTTATAAATCGTAATTTTTTGATAAATTCAGCAGAGTGCCTATAGATGTAGCTGCTGCAGTCATAAAAATTAATAAACTATAATCAATACTAATGAAATTGTTATTTTTATTGCCAATATCTGATTTATTTAATTAAATTCAATCATTCGTCTTATTAAATGAAATTTAATCATTTGATTTTTTAATGAATATTTAATTAAACACCTATGGAGCTAGCAAATATTCATAACGTCAAAACTCAAAGGCTATTGGAAATTCTTATTATCTGAAAAAATTATTCGTAAAGAAAAATTACGCGGGAGTCAGTTTCCAATGTCTAAAGTAATCGTTAAGCCAAACAAAGTTATAAGGATTTATAAATATTTGACTCACAATTATTTACATTTAATAACCGTTGGCGATTATATTTTGTTGATTTTCAATGGAAACTGGTTGTCTGAAAGAGACTATACGATCGGAAAGGGAAAAAGTATGATTATTGTGTAATATCGTGCAACGTTATCCGGACATAGTGTGAGATTATAGGGAAACAGATACACTTACAAGCTACGAAAATGAACAATATTATAAATGTTGAGCCAAATTTATAATTATTTGACAGCAGGGAGCAATGAATTTTAATTAATTTACGTCAATAAAATGCAAAACAATAAATATGCTATAAAAATGACCCTTTCTCATTTTTATAAACTTAAACTTATTTTTAATGCTCGCTTTTCAAAGTAAAATGTAGAGGTATATAGTGATAGGTCGCATATTTTCTATAAGATAAGTTCCTACATCAATTGAATAATTGAATGATGGAATAAACAATTTTAATCAAAATTCTTGAGTTTGATGACGATTACTGTTTTGCAATAGATGCGTCAATTCCTGTTTTCAGTAAGTGGGTCTTACTATTTCAGCTGTAAATTTGGAAGATTTTTGAGCATTATCTTTAGTCAATCAGCTCAGAATAAAACAGATCATTAAGTGTACTTTTTCACGAAATTGAAAATTTTGCTAGGAAAAACTCTCTAGCCTCTTTTAAAAAAATTATTGCAGAATATGTATTTGCAAACAGCTTTTTCCCTGTTTAAAATTTGAAAAAAAAATGCTTGGTTTTCAAATTTAAATCAAGTGGTTTGCAGAAATTTTAACATGATATAAGATAGATTAGTTTATAATAGCATATGACCTAAATTACTTCAAATATTTATTATTTGAAATAATATTATTTATTTAAAGTATTAATTATTTAAAAAATCATTTTAGGCGCCTGGAACGAAGGAACAGAGAAGCTTTAACACATTTCCAGAAACACATATGAAGAAAACTTGATAATTAAGTGATTTTATTTTATTCAAGCTAAAAATTGTGAGCTTTAAAAAAATGTACATTTCAACTTTAAACTTTTGCTTATTTAGAGCATCTTCTAAATCATGACGTTTCTTTGACTGTTAAAGCGTGAACGTGATTAGAATGTGTTCTTTTAACAAGTGTAAGAAATATTTAAATTAAAAAATAATTATTATTTTAACTATTTAAGTGCATTTTTACACGCTATTTCTGTGTAGTTTTTTCCCACTTGAATATTTGCTTAAAAACTAGGACAAACATACAGGGTGTCTCAGTTAAACGTTTCAGAACTCCTAAGAGGGATAGGGTGCATCCTGACGACTCGAAATCATATAGCAATGCGGGGTCGGGAATGCCTTCTTGAAGCGGGGATGTACACAAAAGCACCTTAAAGAAAAGAAACCGTGAGTGAAAAATCGTTTTAATAATACTTTCAGAAAATTATATAGCCTCCTCGGTCACCCGACCTATCATGTCTGGATTTCTGGGATCATATGAAAACACTGGTTTATGACACCCCTGTTGTCAATGCTGAGGAGCTGATTGTTAGAATCTCAGTAGCTGCCGGAGAAATTCGAGGTATGCCTGGAGTATTGCAGAATGTTCGAATGTCCATGCGCCGGAGATGTGCGGTGTACATTGTAGACGGTAGCAGAAACTTCGAACACTTACTTTGACCCATGTACCATATAATTTTTTTAATGTATTATTAAAACGATTTTTCACTTTCGGTCTCTTTTCTTTATGATGCTTCTGTGTACATCACCGCTTCAGGAAAGCATTTCCGACCCCGCATTGCTATATGATTTCGAGTCGTCGGGATGCACCCTACCCCCCTTAGGAGTTCTGAAACGATTAACTGAGACACCCTGTATAATAAATGCAAGAACGATGTAACAGCGATTGATAAAATATCATGAGAAGTTATAAATATTTCTAGCCATGATAAAAATGTCTACGAAAGAGGGAATTGAAATGGCATCTTTATATGCAGAGATCGAAAAATCTTGAAACTTGTCAAAAAAAATAAAATAATTCCGGACACGTTAGTCTACAAAATACATGGTTGAACAACTTTTTTGATTGCACAATATTAACACAAATGAGCTTATTAATAATGTGTAGATAAAATGTGTCATTCCATATTTGCACGGATAAAAAAAATGGTAGAATTACAGTATTGTAAAGATAATTATGGTAAAAAAAGAAGAAAATAGTCATGACAATAAAGTAAAAATTCGCGGTATTTAAACCATTCATTCAGTAACGGTTCCTGATCATATAGTAACAGTTTAATAAAAATTCTGGTCTCCTAAATTCTGCTTTATATTACCACACATTCAATAAAAATACAAAACTTAAAAGTATATTGTAACGAGTAAATGGTTTCTACGCCATGCTCAAAGAAGTCATGATGGAATAATCAAAGTTTACCACATTTACCAAGCTTTAACACATATAATCAAATTGTATTTTCTAGGTAATTTTTCTAAAATCATTATCGAACCACGCCAGCCACAGAGTTAGAAACATGGTGAATTTAACCATATTTTCTTTCAGTCCACATTAGCATTTTTAATTTAAGTATAAATCAGAAGTGTTAAGTATTATTAACAAAGAAGTATTAGGCATTATTTACTAAAAAAAATATTAAACACGTATCTATAAGCATTGATGGAATAAATGCAGAACGTTTCTAGCATATATATAAGCATATATATTTAGCACGTTTTTAGCATATATATTTAGCATATGTAAAATTTAATTGTTAATTTAAACAACTTTCTAAACTATTGTTTTAATATGCACAATGATTGAGATAACTTTTTTGTTTAATAAAAATAAGCGTGATTAGGGAAAGTAAAAAGAATGGGAAGAAGGAATTTCATTTAAAAAATCATTATTTATGTAAATGAATTCAACAATGAAAGTCTAATGAAATAAAATAGATTTTCTTGTTTTCTCCCACTTCAGTGATATTTATTCATCTCACCTTATGATTTTGTTAAAAAATATAGGTTCATTTAGTAACATTTATTGGTTAACATTTTATTGTGAATCTGCTTGAGTGCATGCACGACTGCTCATGTAAGGGTAAAAATTGCAAGCATACATTCTATTTCATAGGAAAAATATATATTTCTATTTCATACAAAACTACACTTCTATCTCATAAAAAATACAATTTTATTTCATACAAAAAATATGTTTCTGCTTCAAGAAAGGAAGAATAAAAGAAGCTCAGACATTTCGGATAATAAATTTTATTAAATAGGATTATTTTTTGAGAAATAAAAAAATTAAAAATACATAATATGTTGCTACTTATACTTTAAACACAGCGGATTAAATGCAAGATAGCAATATAAATTTTATTTCAGTTGAATATTTTAAAAATAAAATGATCTAAATACAAAGTGTAAATATAAGAGGATTTTCTTTAATTTCTAATAAATCACTTAAATTCAGTACGATTCCCAAGAGATGGCTTACATAAATATGTTTCTATGAAAGCCAAAAAGTGATTACATTCTATTTTTATGCTGATTGTCCGTTTTCTTTTGCAAGCCACCACCCCAATTATAAGAATTTAATAAAATTTGATTTTGGAGTCATTTTTGTTCTCTAAATCGGATGTAACAAAAAATTTTAGTGTTTTTTTAAGAAAAATAGCATCTTTTCTTCAAAAAAGTACATTCTGCTACGTTTACAGTTAACTGTCTTGAATATATTAAGAGATATTGCCCGAACACTTCAAAAATTATAAAAGAGATTATTTTGGGTGACTGCACATTTTTACTTTATAATTAAGTAGCTAATATTTTTGTTTGTCAATTGAATAGTGCTTTTCATCTGGAATATATATATATATAATATAAGAAGATAGTGGAATGATAACACGTAGCCAATCACAGAAGACTTCTGGTTAGTAGGGCACAAAACAGCCAATCAAAATTGAGAACGCATGTGTGTGAGAAGGTAATAATTTTTAATAATGCTGCCTGCAGAAATGTTACAACTAAACTTACCAGCTAAAGCTTGTTGCGATTTTTATTTGTATCGAATGTGTGAAATATATTGATAAGAGTTTACTTTAAAATACTCATATCCTTGTTACATAAAATGGATCGCCATGAATATCTTAGACGTGAATATCATTTACATACTTTTAATTGTTTTTTACTTACTTACATAAAATTGTTCAGACAGAAATATTAATTAACAGTTCATATTTGTTTGAGATATTTCTTAAATAATACATAAAAGTGCAAATCATTCATACACAAAATGATGCAAAAAGAAAAATCAATGAAAAATGTACATAGCTAGGTTTTGGGAATATTCAGAGATCAATTGTAAATAGTTTTTAATTTTTTTGCAGCAATTCTGACAAAAATATTTATTGATCATTGATAACATAATTATTTCACTTTATATTTGTGTTTTTATTAGTATTCAGTATAATAAAAAAAATTGGTATAAATATACTTGAGAGTGCCCCTTGGCAAAATGGCGACTTATGTTTGGCGCCATTCCTGTTTGCGTGGAACTCCGTGGTAACAGGAATGTTTGCCAAAACATAATGTAATTTCAATAAAACATTGGAAAATTTCAACGAAACATCGACCAAAACTTTTCAAAACTGCAATGAACCCAATGTAAGCAAAATTATTAAAACCAATAAAATACGTTTTGAATCGAAACAAATATTAATGGAGTAAACACAGAAAGAACAGGAAAAAAACAACAACTCACTTCTTCATTAAGCTTGAATGTCCTCAGATTTAGGTGCACAGAATTCTCTAATGGCAGTTAGATACTGTCTAAAAAATTTATCATTAATATAATAGACATTTACCATGTGTACCTCCATCGCCACATAAATTCGGCGAAATATGAATCGAAAAAGGCGTCTGTGGTACCGGATTGTGGGTGACAATTTTTTCTAAAGTCCCTTTTTATGACTGCCCACATACCTTCAATCTTATTGACCAGAAGCAAAAGTAACCTTACCAGCCGATATCCAACGCAGAACTAACGGACCTCTGAAATTACATATACCATTGAACATTTAAAACTAACGCTAAAATCTAATACAATCAGAATCACGATAGGGTTTTAACATCTCCCAACTCGGTGATCAACCGTGTTCACAACTTAGCGAGAATCAAGGGGCACCCTCAAATATAGTCCACCCAAAAAATTAAATTGCTTAATTTAATTTGCCGAAATTCAGTTATATGCGTTTTTATTACATAATTTGCTTTTTGTCTGATAGAAACTAAAATATTTTGTCAGTCAACAGTATTGAAGTTAATTGGGCAATTACTTGCAATGGTATTTGCTTTTGGAATATTATTTAGCATCAACTTATTAATATTGCATGTTTAAATTTTTTTGCCATATTTTAAAGTTTTTTCACCAGGTTTTAATTATTTTCAGTTTAAGATTTAAATCACTGGGAGGGGGGAGATGAAGCACCATATAGGAAGAGTCCGTCATCCTATAAGATCAACGATGATTTGAGTTAGGCTCGGCCATGCGTGCTTCGGATACGGAGATTAATCTCCAGCTAATGCCCTATAGTAACGTGTTAAATAATATTGCTTCCTCGTTTTATAAATTAATAATATTGTTTGTATTAAAATTGCTTTATATAAGTTCTTAATGCTGATAATATGCACCTCTGAGATTTTACAATCTTATCATATTCTCTTCATGTGATGTTAATGTAGAAAAATTGCCAGCCAATCTCCAGGAAAACGATTTTAAGTTAGTCGACGACTTGTTGTTAACGACTTTAAGTCTATATATATATATATATATTAGCTGAATATCTGCTCTTGGTACGGGTTAAAAAAACTTAACAATCTATATATCAGCACTGAACAACACTGCTAAATCCTATAAAAAAAATTCAAAGATTCAATTACTAAAGCAGAAATATTTTTTTTCAAATTAAATCAATTTTCAATTATTTTTTAAAAAATTATATTTTGTTCTTCCCGGTGACTTTACCTTATTAGATAAGTTATCACATTGTTGCGTTATTCATATAACAATCAAAATAATAATTAACTTTATTCAGAATCATTTGGCATGGTGATGTTGGCCAAAATATGATAGTCAAAATTTACTACAATCCTGAGATTTTCACTGGTACGTACTCTTTCAGAGGGGATCGTAAATAACCTCTTTTCACAGTCTCTCCATTAAAGCTTCCCACTACTGGTGCAGTTTTAATAGGTATCAAATATACATTGTGCCTATATTTGCACGCTTGGAACCTATTAAAATTGCATATTTTAATATGATACAGATATTATCTATTTCAAAAATTAATTATCATTTACGTCGATAATAATATTGTAAGCTATTTTTAAAATTTCGACAAACCAAATTAGTATTATTTCCCTATTGATTTTGCTGCGTAGCACTTAAGAGTATCTAGCTAATTTTATCAGTTAGTATTTATTACGAAAATAAATTAAACATGATTGGCGTCAATAATAGTTTAGAAATTTTTACGATTTTCTTAAAGGGATTAGTATAGTTCGTTTACCACAAGTTGACACTTGGTTCCGCCTTCATCACGTGGTATCGGATGATACCATTTCACTATTTTGGGGAGAAGGATGTGAACAAGGTTGCTATTTGGCGATCGTATGACAAAAATATTTATTTCGCAATCTCCATGTGCATATTTCGAACATGTGCATTTTATTTCATTAACTTGTTGCTATTTCTCTCTTTTTATTGATTAGTTTGTTCTTTTTGAGATATTTTGCTGGGAAAAAGTTTTTAAATATAAATTAGCTAGAATAACGAAAGGTATAATAGCTGATGATAAAGCAAAGTAAGTGACTAAAAAAGAATTCACTGTTTGTGTTTGGCCATCACCTTCTACATCAGAAAGCCTCCACACGGTTTCTTATAAGTAATCTGCGCAGACTATTTAAAAAGTGAACAGTTTGAGCTCTTGAAACCAAATTTTGTTTTAAAAGTGACTGAGAGGAATTTGTCATATATATTTGAGAATTGAATCTGTAGTGGTTGACAAGTAAATAAGACAAACTAATCATATTCAAAAATTAAACAAATTTTCAGACATATAATTGCTACCACTTTTTTATTTTTACTGGATTTTCCATTAAAGGGCTCTTTCGTAGACTGGTTTGCCTTCATAGTGGTATGAGTGGACTACCTATAAAAGTCCGTGTACAGGCTTTGCGCGCATTAGAGGTTATCTCGATTTCAAGAGGGGAAATGTTTTTCCTCTTACTCCCCCGCGCTGAAATGAACTCTGCGTTTGAGGAGGTGGAGCCAAGTGCCAACTCTTGGTGAACAAACTATACCATTTCTCCATTAATTTAACGTTGCTCATTTTAAATTTCAATTAGCTGCCAAAATTAATTAAGCATAACTGGCTACAATAATAATATGGCTTTCTTTCATTGTTTTGCCTAAACAATTTTCTACTGACTATAGTACATACAAATGTTTTGTCAATTAATTCCTATTATAAAAATTAATTGAGCATCATTGGCTTCAATAATAGTTTGATTTCTTACGTTTTTCTTAATGAATTAGTATCATTCCTTTAAGATTATTTTTTCTTCAGTATACAACTTATTTTTTATTTCAATTTTATACATAATACCAAATGTAATTAAGCCTGATTGGAATTGGTAATAGTATGGTAATTGTTTAAGTTTTCCTTAACCACTTTTGTCTTAATTATTTTGCTTTTTAGAACATATCTTATTTTCTTATTACAATTGAAGTTTATTACTAAATGTAAAATAGCATTATTGGCGTCAATAATAGTATGGCATTACTTTTCTCCTACACGAATTAGTTTTATTTCTTCATTAATTTTGCTTTTCGATACGTAACTTATTACATTTTATTTCATATACTGTTCATTTCAAATGATTTAGTTTGAAGATTCGCGTTTTAAAAGGATAACTATAAGCAAACTAGACAGGTGGTTTTAAATAACTTTAGAAAAGCTAACTTGATTTTGTAATCAGAAAATGCTATCATGTTCATGCTTATCGTTGAGTTTATCCAACACATCCTAGAACAGAGAAGACTTCAACAAAGATCAATTTAGTAATCCGACGTAATGAACATAAATTGCTCAGTGGAGGAAAATAGGACAGATGCCACTACGTTCGGACTACTAAGTTAGTTACGAAGTGAGAAAAAGTACGAAACATGTCATGACGTTAGGACTACTAAAGTGTCAAATTTCTTGTTTATGGTAACCAGTACTGAGATATTCTAGGAGGTATTGGTTTAAGTCATATAACGAATGAAATATAATTAAATATTAAGGGATGCGCAGAAATTTTTTTTTCTTCTTATAATAAGCTGGCAAATATTAGATATTAATCGTTAAAATATTTGAAAGAAAGAAACTGGTCTGCAGTCGTTTCATTTTTATCGATGTCGAGTTCTAAGTGAATGGAAGTATTCCATTTCTCAAACGGCGCAACCGAATGAACTATGTATTTGAAAATTTTGAACGAATATTAGGATCGGGGGCAAAATTATCCCCTAACAGCCGCTGTCAGAATTTTAGGATGATCGAACCAACTGATAAGGCATATACCCACACGTATAATTAATGCCTTTAATATTATTTATTAAAAAAGTATAGGGTCGTTAAATGTGGGATGGAAAAAAACAAAACAAAGAAAAAATAAAAACGTAATATAAATCTGCCACATTGCTATTGAGGAATAATGTTCAAAATATCAGAGCCTGGTGGTTTGTTGTTGCTCCAAATAAGTCTTAACTCTTTGCTGTTTCATCTGGTCAAAGAACATATTTTTGTACACTTATCTTCCTCAATAATTATTAGTCGAACTTCAATAGCCTTTTTGAATTTTCCTTATTTAAATATTAGCTTGCTCTCTCCGGTATGCATATACGTTTAATAATAATCGTAACTAACTAAAATGTCTGATAAAGGATGCAACTTCAAAACATTCTGCTGTATTGATTATCACACTGAGGAATCTGGAATGATTCCCATATTGCAGAAACTCATTCACGGCAATAGTAGCAACATGAATCATAGTACCCTTACTGACTTGAAAATCTGCTTTTTTTCGATCTTGAAAACAACGTATCATCGATTTAGTTTTAATAATAAAAAGCAGAAAAAAAGAAGAAGCCAATTACAGAAAAATGTGCTATCGAGAAAAATTTTATATATTACGTGTAATACTTGAAAATAAATTAAAATTTATTTTCAAACTACTACATTTTATGGAAAGCAACTGCAGCTTGATTTAAATAAACTTAAATTAATGTAAGATTAATTTAAAAAATGTTATTAGAAAAAAAAATATTTGAACCAAAACAAGTCTCACAATCTTATTAAGATAAGAGAAATTAATTATTTTTTTAAAACTTACTTTTTTTTTAAACTCACTAATAAAATAAGTTGAAGTTTTAAATATGCGTTTACCATGTTCTGTGGTATTATGAAGCAGAATTCTAATATTAAAATTGTTTTATGCAAATAAATGTAACACTTCTAACCATTATTAACCACAAAAATTTTTTTATAATATTATAATTTTTCTTTTAAAATACATAAAAACTAAAGCTTTTTAAAAATAAGGTTTGGGTTTTCCCACTATTTTGAAGGGAATTGTTTTAAAAAAACGAGTGAAATTTGAAAAAAAGTTCATTTTTTTTTAACTTTGAATTTCTCTATTCAGCTGCAAAAATTATTATATAAATCATTTAAACGCAACAAAATTAATAAATAAAAACGTCTATTTCAAATAAAATGTAATTAAGCATTTCAAAAATAATTTTATTGCATATAGTTTGTAAATATTAAAAAAAATATATGTTTAACAAATAGTAGTTTAAATACAAGATGGTCGTCTTAGAATTATTTCAGTTAAAGGTTACAAGACTAAGATGATCGATATATAATGCAATTTATAGATTTATTCCCAAATGGAGATAAATAAACAGAAAACAATGTATAAATACCTAAGAAATAGCTTTAAAATAAATTAAAGCAATAAAAGTCTAAAGATTCTTGCATCTTTAGATATTAGTTTCAGATATAAGTATTTTCTTTAAATATTTTAACAAAGATAAAGAATGTAAAACGTAGAGAATATTAAATGTTAATTACAGAAATGGTATCGTATAAAATTATGAGATATACAATGAAATAAATATAACAAAAATATACTTTTTGTTGTGAAATTGAGGCAGTGTATAATATTAACAAATTATGAAGATGATATTAGATTCAAATGTATAATGCAAGGAAAAATACTAAATTGGTATAAAAATATCATTTGTCCTAACACAAAATAAAGGGAGCTGTTCTATCTCTCAAAGTTTGCTTTCTTCAAGTATGTTGTCATTTATTTTCCCATTTTTCTCATTTTTACCATTGGCATGATTCGCAAAACCATTTTGTTCTTCTAAATTCAATGCTTTATTTGGCACCGACACTGCTGAGTCCTAAATTAAATAAAAATTACGCAATTATTGATTGCTAATAATATTAATAATAATAAAAAATAAATAACGAAAAAAATTATTAAATATTTAAAAACGACATTACTGTGTTCTAAACTAAATGAAACAATGATAATTGATTGCTTTAATTAGGTTTAAAAGTAATTTATCTATCGTTACTGAACTATCACATAGTTTAAAATATATACAGTATATAATACGGGATCCGAAAAGGAACTGGAGCCTGCATGGTCAGGTGCTCCAGTGTGTTATTGGATCTCGTATGATATGAATTGCAATATGGTAATGAAACCGATAGTTCAAGGAGCTGGATATTTTTCTCAATATAGTTCCAGAATGAAACATATTCCAATATAAAACACAAGTCCTAGTGAAATAGAATGGCTCCAGCAGGACTATATATGATTCCAGTATGACCAGTATGGATGGATCAGATTGAAATGGTTCCAATTTTATACTGAAATCAGCGTGATACTATAGAGTATTCATTTCCATAAACATGTATTGTAAATCACACTTAATACATTACAAGATTAAAAAGAAATGAGAAATAAAAGAGCAATGGCAAAAAAATTGTATTGAAGTATAGGGAGACATTAGACACTGATATTAGTTTCAGAAGGATGGACTATCCTGTCTGGAAAATCGAACACTGATACCAATAAAGTTGACATGCATGTTTGAAAAAAATGGTTATTGACCAAAATGTATAGGATAACGGTTTTCAAAAAGATCTCTGCTGAACCATCGAGTTTGGTAGAAATTTCAAGAGCTAGAAGTTTTATTAAACCGTTATGATTTTCGAAAAGTGCAATCGATATTATATCCCATCAATTATACATTATTGATTTATTATCTCAATTATTTTTATGAATTTAAGTAAACTTAAAGTGAAAATACTACATATTTGTTTTCGTATAACACTAGATTTAATGAACAATAAAAAGGACAAACTTTTATAAAAAAATTGCATTAATGTATCAAATCAAACTTTTCAACATGAAATTATGTATAAAAAAATAATTTAACACTAAAGCTCTGATAACCCTTCTCAACGCTTATATTTCCCTTTTTTATTTCAACAAAAGCCTAAATTCAGCTTACATATACATGCACAGCATTAAATGCAGAGTTTAGAGGCCACTCCCGACCTATCAATTCAACTGTCTGAAGTAAATTTAATTTCAAGATCAGCATTTATAAAACGATACAATAAAAGAATTTCATTCAGAATTCAAAATTTTCCCTATTTTAAAATAATTGATAGTTTCTAGTTAGTTAATATGTTTACTGTTGTTGATAAGCTTTTATCACATCTCGGGGCTCCGTCCAAAGGAGACTGATCATTTTGGGTTCCACAGCCGAAAAAAAATTGGGAACCACTGGCTTAGAAACAGGCAGAGCTAGTTCAAAAAATTAGACGAATCACAAAATAAACCTTTTCAATGCTAAACAAATCTAAAATTTTAGACCCTACTAATATCTTAGAAAATCGTGTTTATTGATTCAATGTGAAAAAAAAATCCTTTTTCTTAAAACTTTCATTTTTTTACAATTTTTTTGCATCATTCTAAAGAATATAACTTTACATAGCAAAATATAAAATTTGAGAGAAATTGGTTCCTTAAATAATTCCTGAGAAACTGAATTTCAAAAAAGTCAGATGCTTAAAATTCGATTTCTCATAAATCTACTGATTTTGCACTATGCAATGCAAAATCATATTCTTCAAAATGATGCAAAAAGTTTTATTGTCTTACAATTAAAAAATCTTTTTGACTATTAGCAAATTAAATGATAAAAATGCTGATCTTTAATCGATCTATTAGTAGATTAAATGATAAATAATGATCTTTGGATCAATCTCCTGAAATTATTGGGACCATATATCCCTGATTGTAGCTACCCCCTATATTTTGGGGGTCAGAAATCTGAATCCGGCGAAAAAACGCAATGTTTATACAAAGAAAGTAAGATTTTGTGTCTAACTTCGCAACTTAAAATATTGTCCGCACTAAACAATTAGCATATTTGAAATTTGCCCACCGAACCATTAATATTGAGTCCAAGAACATGAAAATTCGATCATTAGATAAATTATTATTAAGATGAATTTTTAACATTTTCAAAATTGGTAATTTAAAACAAAGAGTAAATCTTGAAAATATAGGAAAACTGGTGAATGTCCTTTAAATTTCCTATACAAAATTACTAATAGTATTATTTAACAGTATTATGTATCTAACAGTGCACTTAATTTAAATTTTTGAGTGTTATTATTTTATTAATTTAAGATTTTTAGAGATTTACATTTAAATCTCTAAAAAATTTAAAAGTTATTTATTCAATTTATTAACTGATACTCTATCATCAAATGTTTGTTAAAAACGAAAATGCAAAATTGAACCAGAAGTTCAAGGTGGCATATGAAGAGGTCTCTAACAAATATTCGTTCACATAAGAAAAGTGGTAATTTCATGGTCAATCACCAGCACCCGTACCCAAATAACGAGGATTATCTTATGTTTTCTTGAAAATAAAACAAGAATAAAATTTTAACACTTACTAGTTTCATACTTGATTTGATAGTATTTCTGCTAAGATAATTTCTTAGAAAAGGGCAGATTAAATCTTCATCTACGTTTTTGTCTCCACCTATTAAAACAAGTAATACTAATGTACAATAAGACATCATTGCTTATGAAATTGCTTTATTTTAATGCTTGAGTAAATTTTATGGAATAAATTATGGAACAATTCAACGAATAATTTAAAACTTGGAAGCATTCACGAAGTGTGAACTACTAAGTAGAAAATTTTTTATTAATAATGCGCATAGAATCTTAGAATTAATTCAATTATTTGTAAGAACAATTTTACACAATCGATGAATTTTGTTTAAAGATACAGGGTCTTTTTTTAGATAAAAATTATTCGTTATTGTTGAGTTTTCTATTGCTATGTTTTTATAAACTACGATTCAAAAAAATCCTGCTGTTTTTTGGGAGTACCTCCATATATTTAAGCTTAAAGCCGTTTTGTGCAGAAAACAGTTTGCCTCCGTATTTCATCTTGATCACAAACGGATTAAAACCGTCAGTAAAAATTCAAGTTTTTTTCCATGCAGTTTCGCGATCCGTAATATAACTTTACCTCTCTCCAATAATTTTACAGTTCTTTTCTATACTTGCTTTTATTTTTAGCAATTACTTTATGGTTTTGAACATCGCATAAATAAGACTGCGTTTATTCTTTACTTTTAAATTGGTACAATATTCAAGCAAAATTCTCACTATTTCTATTTCCTCATAATAAAACACTTGACTGGTTCAGGGTGTCTTGGCTGGAGCAAGCGTCTGATTACGTATAATGCAAGTATAGATTTACTTTGCAGTTTTCACAGAGAAAACTTGTGCCCATATGGTAAAAGTCTGTTGAGACAACACTTTTTTTCTCACTTATTTTAATTTTTTCTAAGTTTTTGTTACGAAAACTTAATTTGCTACTCTTAAAAACCAATCTGATTACAGATTTTCTTCTTACTTTTTTTAGAAAAAACTTTTTATTGTATGATAAAAAGCCGTGAAGACTATACTGATTTACTTTGTAAATTTCACTGTTTTGCATTACCAATCAAGTTTCTGGTTTAAAGATAGAAATTTTACGTTTTTTAACAGAGTATAAATTTGTTATAACATTAATGTAAAATATTTTGTCTTTTGGTTTAGTAAACATATACATTGCAGTGCAAATTTTCATCAAAAATTTTAAAACTTATTACAGAACATTGTAGGAAAAAAATATTTTAGGAATAGCATAAAAGTTTTGACGAAAATGTACAAGGTCTTGAAAAATTTCTTGATAGTTCTTGAAAATTCAATCGTGCAAAATTTAATTTCAAAGTTATCAGATTCCCTTCAAATATATATATAGTATGCTTTAATTTTTCATTAATTTATATTAAAATCCTGTAGATTAGGAGGAAGTGTTTACTAGTATTAGAGCCATCCACTTTTTTTTAAAACAAAGTTAAGCGGCAAGCATTAACCGTTATTTTCGATTTCGGGAACTAATGGCTTCTTCCATACGTTTTTAGCCTTGATTTAGAATAATTTCGAAATAAAATATATCTTTTGCACCATTTTTAAGTTTAATATAATAATTGCTAGAGAGTTATAAGTTCTTTACTTAATAATATTGAAAGCCAGCTCTGAATTTAACTGTTAACACGTTGAATACCATGGGGGTCACCAGTGACACGCGAAACCAAGATTATTAGAAACTAGTAATTCGAATAAATTTTGAATGCTTTTAATTTTTTTATATTATTATTGTTACTAAAATGGCTTGAAAGAATTATTGCAATACATACTGAGAAAATTGTTTTGGCCAGACGGGCAAGCCATGTAAAATTAGCGTGGTATTCAACGTGTTAAGGATTTTTTAAATTGACTCACTGTAGTTGAGAGATTTAAACGTCATGATTATTAATGCTAATTGCATTAAAACTAAAAAACACTTCCAGTTTGCTGGACATTAAATGCATATCCGTATATGAGAAGAATTTAGAAGTAATATTTAAATTATTAACTTCATATTAGATTCTAGATGACATCCCAGCATAATTAACAAACATGAACATATAACAGCAATGGATGAAAAAGTGATAATACAAATTTCAATTAACTTAAAAAGCAGATTAGAAAAATAGTGCAGATATTCTTATTCAATTTAAGATAGCAGTTACCTGTTATGAAGCTCACAATATAGCCAACGATGAATGTCAAAATTGTACCGGGTACTGGATGAAGAAGAAAGCTCAATTTAAAAAGTGGAAAGATTTCTCTGAAAAAATAAATTCCATATTACGCCTAATATTTTTGCAATGTTGAAAAACGAAAAAAAATGCCTAGAACTATATGTCATACATAAAATATTTATTACGATAACAATCAATGAATATATATATAGAAACTACTCAAATGTTAGTACTATGATAAAAAAGGATCTCATATAAATTTTTTACTAATAACACATGTTTCTACGCTATTGCAGTTGAAACCAATGACTTTAGTGGAAAAACTGATAGGCATTCCTTAGAAATTGCCTTATTGCCTTTAATCTCCGTCCCTCAAAAATAGATTCCACATAATTTTAATCCATCATTTGTCTTTATTAACCTAAATAATGATTCGAATAAGCCTAAATTGATATTATTCTTTCTTACTTTCTCGTAAAAACTAATTTGAGGCAGATCATGTGGATAGTTTTTTACTCCATTTTTAAAAATTTTCTAATAATATATATTAAAAAACGTTTATTGTTTATTCTTGACCCTTAAAACATGTGGGTTGCAGTAAACTAAAAAAATATGGTCTCACTAATTTAGGCAAAAGAGATAAAAATTAAAATCCCTTGAATTTAATTACACTCCATTTTTATTTCGCAATCTCTAAGAAATCGTATTCTTAAATTTTTCTTTATTAAGACCAATTTGCCTAATTTTCCCCAAATTTTGGTTCTTATTATTTAAAATTGACCAAATTTAATTTATTTTTAAAATTTATAACTTTGTAAATTATTTTATTAATTAATATATATCTCCCTCTAATATTAACATATAATATTCAAATTGGATCAGGTATTATATTACAGGTATTATATTATATTATTTCTGTACCCTAACAGAAATTTAAAAAAATGTTTGCTGAAATTCATTAATTCTGGAGACACAAAGAAATACTCAAAAAGTGAAAATTGCATTAATGGGACTTAATTTGTGACCGCTCTGCTACCTAAACTATTTCGGGATTATATTTTAAAGCTTGTGGCTATCCTCATATTTTCCGTTGGAAAAAAATCATATTTATTCAAAAATATACCTTTGTGTCTAATTTCATAAAATAAAACGTAGTTTGAAGTAATTAATTAGCGTATTTGAGCGTATTATCCTTTTGAACAATCACGATTGACTCTTCTTACTTGAAAATTCTATCTACTTACAATGTTCGCTGTTTTATATCGCACACTGTACAGAAAAAAAATAAAGTTGAATATGATAGAATATTATAATTACATAAAGTGTAGGCATTAGTAATCTAAAAGTGTGAAGAATAGTATTCGAAAAGTGTGATGAACAAGTTTGGTAATTTCAGTTTTGATTGTGCGCGTATGCGCATATACTTCCAATTTTTCAATAGACCTTTCTTTTTAAAGCGACCGTAATAAGAGTTGTTAGTTTAAATATACTCATACAATAGCTTTTTCCCTTCTGCACGAAGATACAACTAATTTTTTGTTTGGCAATAAATTATGCACTTTCGCAATGATATCGATTTGTAGAGAATAGTGGAATAATATGGATATTAGCCATTGGATTGCTTGTCATGAACATCATGACCAGGCTTTTTTTATTTTTCCTTTGAACGAGCCACCCAACGTATCTCCTATGCACGCCCAAACACAAGATTATTGTCTGTTCTTGATATCACTGAGTATATGCTGGTAAATGTATGGCAAGAAATGGCCGGCAAATTGGATCTATACAAAGTAAAATGAGGCTCAGGTAGAATGCATGTAAACCAAATTGGAAATGTTACTGCATCTCCTAGCATTTTCATTATTATCACTAACAGTAAAAATGTTTAAAACTACTATCTTTTAATGTAAATCTTGTATTACATACCTACTCCATCCACATATCTACTAGATTTTCCAAAATTTAATGCAGATAAAAAAAAAATCGTAAAAAAACTTTTCCATTTTATACAGAAAGACACCAAAGTGAAATTTCGATATGATATAAAATCTGATTAAAGTTAACTGCAGATAAGATTATGAGATATTGGAAGGCGATAATTACTTTGTCAAACGTTTGAGGGTAAACTAATGTCAAAATATGTTCCAAAATTGGAGAAACATATTACATTGCACCTCATTTTATACATTTGTGGAGAAAATAGCAAAAGTAAATGCATCTAAAACTACGTTAATTTAAATTAAATATAATGAAATTGTATAAAAAAGCATGGGACACACGGCTTTTACACGCAGTATGAAGGTCAAAGAAAAGTCATTTGTAAAAATAAGTGTTTGAAAAGAACTAAAAATATAGAATAAAAAGATAAATACTTTAAAAAATATAAGTATAGTTAAATATTTTTTACACGTAATATGTAATTTTATACTCACTCTTTAAGAACAGTGATTCCATCAGTTACAACTGATGAGGTTGTGTCCAAATCATCCAGTAACGTCACATTCGTGCTACTTATAGCGGTAACAGTTTCAAAAAATAGATTTGTCGTATTTGCTGGACACATGTCAATGCTTTGAGGTAGTTTAATTTGAGGATAGTCTGAAACAATTGACCCTGTACCAATCCAAGCATTGAGAGCTATTCCAGACAAAAGTCCAACAATTATCCCCTAAAATGATGATATAATACAACATTGACAACAATAGTTTACTTCTTATAACATTTTTAAAGGTTGTAACTGAATTTTTGATAAAAGTAATTTATTTCTACACTGTGAAACTGAACCAAATAAATGACAATTCAAAACTTTATAGAGAAGGAAACTCTGTACTCACTCAAAAATGCAAATTTGATTTTGTTTGAGAAATCCTATTTGATTTGAAATTTAAAAGTACTTGCACTACACGAGAAAAATGATCGCGGGACCTTCCAAGTTTACTTTTTGTTTGGATTCTTTGTTTTGTTTGGATTCCTTGTTTTGTGTGGATTCTTTGCTTTTTATGGACTCTGTTATTTTGTGTTTCATTGGAAACATCTTAGATAAGATATGTAGGAAAAAATCCAAGGGAAGTACATACCTCGAAAATTCCTATTAAGACAAAATTAAAGTTATAGATTGTGTTTGAAGTCTTTGGATAGGGTACATATTCGGTAAGGATCCTCCCCATGGGTAAAATATGACCCAATAAAGATCCAGTTCATTAACTTTTAAACTAACAGAAACTATCTAACTGATGTGTATTTTTAAGGAAACAGGCTATTTGCCTTCTACCAAAGTGGTTCAGAATTCAAATCCTAGTTGGCGCAATTGAATTTTATCTCTATTTTTCTTTTCTAAGAGAGGTCGATAGCTATTAACTATGTTTTATTCACAATTAACAATTTTCAATTGAAGTAGATGGATTATTTAAAAAAAAATGGCAATTTATAATTTGAATACAATTTTGTAATTTGTTTAAAAATTACAAAATAATAAAATTTTCATATTTTAATTAAAATATATGAATTATTTAAATAAAAAGAGTCTTAAAATTTTGTAATTTTGTTTGAAATAATCAATGTATTTTAATTAAAAATATCAAAAAATAAATAAATCGTAATTTTTTTTAATTTTTAGGAAATTATTTTCTTTTAAAAAAACATAAATTATAACAATTATTTTATATAAAATAATAATTTATAATAATATTTAATTTCATAATTTTAATTTAAATTATAATTTGATAATTTAATTTAATGATAATTTTGCATTAAATAATAATTCATAAAATGAATAAAATATATTAAATAGTAATAATATTTTTTTTGAAAAACAAAAAAGAAAAATGAGTGAAAATTCAATAGTCATAGCTCGGATTTGAACTCATGACCTCTCGGGAAGAAGCCAAACAGTGTAGCCGATACACCACGAATACACATAAGCTGGAAAGTTCTTGTTAACTTAAAAGTAAATGAACTGAAGCCTTTGTGGGGCATAATTTACCCTATGGCTAATTTATTCCCTTTCAGAGATTTCGAAACATTGCTTTTCATTTGAAGCCTGACTTTGTTTTAATAGGCATTTTCGAGAGGCGTACTTTGTTTGTGAACAAAACTGAATTCAACAAAATTAAACGACGCTAAGAAGTATGTCGTCGCACAAATATAGGAGAACACGGAAACAATTTTAAAAAGCCATTGAGTGTGAAAGCCATATTTTTCAGAAAATAATAACCCAACAAAGATGCTTACATAGATATACCGCTATATGGACAAAGTAGTCACCGCAATGCATCACTGGAAATTGATACAAATAATTTTCTATAGCTGGAATTACCTATATGATGGTATATGAAGGCACTAATAATTGTAATAAATCATTAATGTAAATGACCAATGGACGGCGTATTGAAATTTTTTAAATTAAAGAGTAAATATTTGTGAAACTGAAATTATGTAATTACAAATGTAGTAAAGGGTTCATTCAAATATTTAATACTTTGAGGAGTTTCCTATATCATTAATGGATTCGTTTCATCACAATTTTTTTAATGGTAGTAGCAATCATGCAATCTATTTATAATTTTGCGAAAATGAACACTGATAATTGAACTAGTACAAAAAGAGAAGCTTTAAAAAATAGCAAAAATGAAAAACATTGAAATTTAAGGCACATTATTTCGATTTTGTTACATTTGCACCTCTCTCATTTCTTTCGGAGAAAAATAAGTTTACATATTCATTGCAAAATTGAAATCAATAATTACCTTTTCATTAGCAGTTGTCGATATCATGCCTAGAGTTATTATTGACAAAGTTGGACCTCCAATAGCTGTGAATACTACAAAAGCCGCCGGAATAATAGCCTTAATGTTTCCAACAATGTAGGTCATAGCAATGCACAGGGCACTATAGAATAAGGCTGAAATATACAATCAATGCTAAAACAATAAAACTTAAGTCATAATAAAATGGTTACTTTTTTTATTTTAACTAGAAAAGAGTGCTAATGCATAGAAAAATCTCTGTTTTGATTATTAATTGTCACATTGTTTCCATCACCACATCTGAGTATTATGACTGAATAACAATAAATATCATCTAGAGTATCTGTAATGTTTTCGTAAATCTAAATATTACGTGCTCTGCTCATAAATCGATCGTTTTGGTTAAGTTATTAAGGTAACCTTTTTTACCCTTATAGATGTAGTATTGTGACTACAACATTATAACATTTGCAAACTCAATCTGAATTGATGAAATTTGAATTAAAATCTGTCATTCACAGCTAAGGGATCGTATGTCGAAGGGCTTTGAAAACTTTCACATAGCAAGGAATACGAGGAAATATAATCGCCACTTCAGATTGAGGGATTGGATCCCCGAGTTTACACCTCTTATCTTGCTTTAACAGACTTAAAAAAAAAATTTCTGAATTTAAGTCAGCATTGTGAGAACGGTATTTCTAAAGAAAAACATTTAAAAAAATGCATCAGAATGTGCACTTATTTAATGAGTCTAAAGAAGTTATAGAACGAAGAAACTTACTATAGCAAGCTAAATTCAAAATCCTATCCAATCTTTTTGTCCCAATACCCACTTATTTAGACTAATTAAATAAGTGGTTATTGGGACAAAAAGATTGGACAGGATTTCGAATTCAGCTTGATATGGTAAGTTTCTGTCTGTCCTATAACTTCCTTGCGCGGATGAGCGAGAAAAATTACTTTCGGGATTTACACGTTTAATTTTGATTCAGACACATCACCTCGGAACAAAGAAAAAAAATTCCTGAATTTACGGTTATGTCCTACAACAAGGGGAAAAAACCTGGTATAATTACCCTACTTAAATAGTACTGAAATAGTACTAATAGTACATAAATAGTACTGATCTCTTATGAAAAATAACATAATTCAGGTAATAAAAAATAAACTTTACTATTCCAAAATATTATTCATTTATTTACTGTTACACATATGTAAATCTCATTACAAAGTGCTATTTATAATAAACACTTGTAAAGTTAAAGAACAAATAGCATAAGTCAGAGAAAGATGTAACAAAGAAAATCTATTGAAGCATTGAGGTAGCGGGTTCGAGTTCCATCGTATCCTTGGATATGTGTTTTTGATGTCTTTCTTTATCTCATGCTATCTGTGTTTTTGACATGACAAGAGTTTTTAAACCAAACTTTGTATGCGTAAGTGACATAATAAATAAATATAAATAAGTAGCTCCATGGTTTCTGTGGGATTCGAACCCGCAACCCTTACTCCTCTATTTTAAGATGTTAGGATCATTATTGACTTACTGATTTAGATAAGTCTAATTCAGGAATTTCTAATTTTACGTTTTTTAAAGTTGGTGGATGTTAACTTACTGCTTATACAGAAGTAAAAACAGCTAAACGACGAAAAACTAAGTTGACAAGCGTTTGCTGAGTAAAATAGAGGAAAAACCTGACAAACTGAACACATTTTTGTCATCTCAAATTATACTAGTATACTGCTAAAATTAATGACTTATCGTATATTTACCATACGTACTACCAAACAGTGAATAATAAAGCCTCATTTTGTTGTTAATTTTACCAACAGTCACTATCAAAGCGCATCAGAAAAAATTTCCGTTCTTTTTGGTGCTCTTATAGAGCCAGAAACACGGGTAGATTTCACCATATTCTGGTAGTTTTAACTATACTCTCTTTCACATACTTTTTTTTAATCATTTAAATTTAAATTAAATATGAGAGCGGAAGAAGAATTGGAAATTTACAAAATTTGCTTGAAGTTAGATAAAATAATAATTATTTTTTTTAATGTAATGAATGTTATTACGATTGTGCAAAAACCAGATGGTTTTTAAAATCATTGTCGCCATAATCACTAAATAAAGATATTACATGATAAAATAAATTAGGAAAAAAATTAATTTTGGAAAATTTTAACAATGTAACGTGTACAATTAGATGTATTCATAATCAGTATTTGATAGTTAACATTTGGAAAATTTCGACTTATCAGAGCCTTACCAAAAAATTTTGATATCCTTGCGGATGACTTTTCCGTAACCAAAGAATTACATTTACAAAATGGTTTCACAAAATCTTCAAAGGTTACAGCTGCAAGAGAATTGACTGCGGATGATATAGATGTTAAGGCTGCACAGAAAATGCCAGACACACAAAATCCTGCCATTCCCGGATAAATGCTGAAAGATCGAATCATGTAGTATGGAAAGAGCTGAAAATTGAGAAAAAAATACGTGTATTTATTTCTATTGATTGAAATTCTAAAATTTCAGAACAAGTTTTATGACAAAAGTTTAAAAGCAATTAATATGATAGAAAAAATTAAAAATAACTGTAGAACTGTAAAATAAAAACTTAAAAGAAATTATACACAATGTAGGATTTTTATAAATTACATTAGTAGTATTTTTATGTAACTGCAGCTTCGACAGTTGAGAAATCTATAATATTCATTATTGTTGTGCCAAAAGTGTTTTAAAATATACAGCTATCTTGCAGCTTTTTAAAAATTGACAATCGTGATAAAAATATATTAAAAATTAATCAGTATAATTACAGATTTAACCCTCCAAGTGTTGAGCCAAGTTGTTGAGTTAAGATTGTACTGAAAGTTTTGTGCTATGTTCTATTCCCCCACTGAATAATTTGGGAATATCGTTTCCTTTTAAACGCAGAAAAACCTATCCTGAAAGTTCGAAAAAGTAGATACTAACCCTCAGAGGGTTAAAATATGCATATCAGTTTCATAAATCTGCTTTAAAACTGTCCAGCACAATTCCTGAATTCATTTGCAGGAATGAGAGAAAAAAAACTAACTAATTATTGTTAAATACATTGTACCGTATACGAAATAGAAACCTAATAAGTTCAAACTTAAACTGTTGGCAATATAGGGAAGCTTGCGGACAAGAATGAGCTAATAGTTAAATGTTTGCTTACTTATTTATGCGTTGAAGTGCTTAAGGGTTAACCACTATTAGCACTGTTCTTTAAAATATTATTGTTCCTTAAAATAAATCAAAGCAATTTAAGATAAATCAAAAATAAATTGAAATCGAAAATGAATTTTGAACAGCTACATCAAATCAGATTTGAAACTACATCTAACTTCTTAATTTTCTAATTTTGAACTAAAACCAAGAAGATTCTTTTTTTATCAACACTCGAATATAAATTTGCTTTTAAAGGATTAAAAATTATTTCCTCTTATCAACATTGATAAACAGTTTTCCCGTTTTGCAATTACGACTGTATAAAAGTACTTCGTTTCTTTCTAATTTTGAACTTCAACATATTACGCTGTCAAAAATTTTCTTGTGTCTAAGCACCGAAAATGTTACAACTACTTTACATAAAGGGGTGTTTCACTAAGTGTCCCACGATCAAGGATAGTTCCAGGTGTTATTCCGCACGATTTTTGTAACGTAGCGCCCATTATATTCGTTATTAAGTTGCGCTAAAATTTATAATTACAGTAAGATATGATAAACATAATAATTAGCAAAATACTTTTGCGATACAATATAAAACAAAAATCCTAATTTAGGATACTTGTGTACAGTATTTCTTAAAATAAAATTAGTTTGTTAATCAAACATACACACAACTCAGACAAAATATTAATATGAATTTGAGAGCAATCGAAGAGAATAAAAGTTAATTATTGTATAATAATCTTTCAAAATTGACAGATGTAGACGACTACTACAATAATTGAAATAATCATCTACAATCATTATTTTTATCAATCAATAAAAAGGATCGAATTTAATATGCTATAACTAGTTTGTCAATTCAGTCGGTCAATTCAGACAAGTAGAACTCACATTTTACTCATCACCCGAACATTTTATCATTTCTAGAAAGCAAACAGTCATCTTGACCGCCATATTGTTAAGATTTTGAAATTGGACAAATCAAAAACAATTATTCTCCAAGCAACTACTAATGGTCCAAAAACATTTGTTATACAAGTAAAACACGCCCTACCACTATATCACTCAAGAGTTTAGTTAAATAATTTAAATATACGATAATTATCACCAAATTTCGTAGGAAACCAACAACGATTGATTTAAACTTTATCAATTATTGCTGTTAAGATTTAAAAACATCCTTTGAAGCGTATAAGAGCGCTCGAAATGGTTATTAACGTGAAATAAAGTATTCATTCACACAAATTTTAGAAATTTTTTCAACTTTATATTCGCATAGATATTTTGTATTTTATTTTATAACCATCGTTGAACAGCCGACCCAATTTTTGGATTTACGACTACTAATGTTCAACGCAGTAGCTTTGTAATTTTGAATCCTATCCAGGGAATTCCAGGATCAAATATTCGGAAAAATTTGCCTCCGTGGAGGAATTTTGATGAAACTAACCCCATTTGCGTTACACGCAGAGGAAAACCGTGAAAACCTCCCAAGGTTATCCTGATGGCAAGGGGACTCTAACCCATGATACGTCTACCACTGAGGATATTTCACGTCAGCACTGTGGTCGGTGCGAGCCGAATGTTGAATTCGTATTCGACCAGCTATTGTTGGGATTCGAACCCAGTTCACCTCATTGGAAGGCGAAAGCTCTATTCTCTGAGACATCACGGCTCCAAATTTGGACAGAGTGGATGATACTCCAGAAATAACTCCTCGACCTTGCACTAGGGGAAATTCTAAAACTAAACTAAACTCAGTGGCGCGCCAGCCCATAGAGGGCCAAGGCCTACTGTGCCCATCTCAGTTTTCTTGACTTTGGGCTCTGGGGTGCAGGAGCAGATGTTCCGGTCAGGTGGTCAGATGAACGAGGAACCCCAGTGTTTACTTCCCAAGCATGCTTGGTACTCATTTATCGACCGACCCACTGAAGGGATGAAAGGCTGAGTCAACCTTGCCCGACCGGAGAATCGAACTCAGGACCTGTGGCATGGGAGCGTAAAGCGCTACCACTTAGCCACCGGGAGTCCTAGGGGAAATTCACCGATTTGAATAACTGTTAGATATTTTTTTTTTCTATATTTAGTTTGATTTCATCAACTTCTTCGAAAACGTATACACATTAAATTTGAGACTCCATAACCTTCCAATTTTAAACTTAACCTAGTTGGTAAGGAAATTTCAAGATCAAACACTAGTGCAAACATGCCATCTTGGAGGAAATTTTGAGTAATGTAGCTGGCAAGTGATGTACAATGAAAGAAAAATAACGAAGTCCTTCCATGTTGAGCTAGATAAAAAATTGGATATTTTTTTCAGCATCATGATTTGCGTGAGTGAAAAGCTGATACGAATTAACCATCCACAGTCCGGATTTGAACATGAGTCACTAACTGGTAAGTGAGTGCGATCATTTACAAATCATGCAGCTTCAAGTAAAAACTGTGAAAGAACTTCGAGTTTTGAAATGTTTTTAGATTAGTATCAGAATATTCAGTGTTTTAATACCAAATTTGTCTAAACTACGCCAACGGTTAAAAAGTATTTTATTTCAGAAGTTTTATGTTAAGTAATCAACGCTCTTTTTTAAGGTAAGGAGAGTATTGAGTGTGACTTATCTTTGGTACTTAATTAGGAAATTAATTACTTGTATTAATTTAATTAGGCAACTGAAAGATTTACTTGATCAGCCGAAGAAATTCCAGTGACGTCACTTCTTAATAAAGGATCACATCCAGCGAAGTTTGCATAGATCACCAACCCACATGTATAAATTGTGTAATACATTAGTAAATTCATTGGAATGCTGATAACAAGTGCCCTGAAATAAGTGATAAGTAAACAAACATTCATATAAAAGAAAAAAGAATATGCCAAATAAACAAAAATATATCGTTGTAACGCAAAATATAGATAAAATCTTTAAAAATAAATAAAATATTATTAAAAAAAATAAGATATAGTAGAAATTTAAAAATTACTATAATATATATATATATATATATATATATATAGACAGGTATAATCGAACTATTATTCGTGAAATTATTTTTGATGCTTCGAATGAAATTTTTGGTCAAAAGTACTCAGACATTTGAAATTAGACACTAAATTTAAATATTTTTTTTTTAAACTTTTGAACAAATATTACAATATTCAGTCCAACTTTCACTTTCATAATATTTTTTTCAGATAAAAAAATTCTTAAAATATTTACCTGCATTTAATATATTTTCTTGCAAAATCCTAAATGTAGAAAACAATTACATTTTGAAAACCGATTAAATGAAAAAATAACTATGCTTTAAGTCAGAAACAAAGAGTGAATTGAAAGTGTGTGAAAATTTTCGTTTTAATTATTGATTCAAGAAATTCTTGCATGTTAAATACCAAAAAAATGATGTAATGCCTTATAGTAATTGAAACAAAATACGAAATAAACTGTAAGTGTACAGCCAATTATATTTTTATGTTGCGTAAATATTAGTATAATCACAGAAAATCAAGTCACTGACCTTTATCGAAATGGCACTCGTGACTCATTGCAATTTCTTTCAAATAAATACGAAAAAATGAACATGCTATCATTTATGTACCAACGGTTCCCAATTGTTTTCGTCTATGGAACCCTAATTAATCAACCCTCTTTCGGTGAAACTCCTACTTCATAAATAAAGTTCAAAAATACTTCTTAAATAAAGATAAAGTTAAAAAATTAACAATAAAATTGAAGGTAATTAATTTGAAGTTTTAGTGTATAAGAAACTATAATTAAAATATTTAATTAGTGGAATGAAAATAAAGTTTTTTCATCTTTTTATGATTAATAATTAATTAATTTAGGTTTTATGACCGACAGTTAAATTTTAAGTCCTTGTGCTGTATCTAGTCATGTTAGGAATTTGTTTCTGCTGTATATACATAAGCTGAAAATAATTTTAAAAATGAAGCCAAATTATGGTTTACTTCGAAATGAAAACTTAGAGCTGCTATAAGCGTTAAAAATGTTTATTACGGATACATGTTTCTTTATTTAAGAATTTAGTTACTTTAATTTGCGAAGCGTGATAGGAAATACTAAAAGAATATTTTATAAATGCTTGTTTTTTCATAATTTGTAGAATATATTGTGATTAGAAATGTTATATTTTCCTTTTAAAAATGTTATTTCTATTTGATTAACATTTTACTAAGTGATTTCATAAAGACAACCACAAGATTAAATTACAAATTGTATGTTGGATCTAAATATATTCATAGGTTTCAAAATTCATTACTGGTTATAAAAGGACCTAACTTGGGGAAGACCTTTACCTTCTCCACGGAACCCTCGAGTTCCGCTGTTTTTATACGTTATAAGGTTTTTTTCTCCTATTTTCAATGCTTTTTAAAAATTAATTATTAGTTTTTATACAATAATAACTTTATCTTAGTTGCTTATAATTATGAGTCTTTCAAAAAAAGGCACGTATGCAAAGAAAAATGTTCTTAATATTTCAGAATATTAATCGAATAACATCAAAAAGCTAAAGTTACCTGTAAATATCACTTAGTGTTTTCATGCTCAATTGATTATGTTACATTTTTCATTCGATTGCGTAATGTTATATAACTTATAAAGTTGTCAACCACAAATTCAAGTTTTATAGTTTACATAATTGATTAGCAGATAAATCAGAAAAAAATATGAAAAATTAATAAAAAATTGCACTTACAACTGCGATCTTTTCAGGGAGCTAACACACAACAGCCGTTGCACTTGGGTTTGATTAGCACCACATGTAGTTAAACCATACATAAAACCTCCAATCAAGGCACTCCATACTGTAAATCTCAAAGTTGGGTCAAAGGTTGTGCTAAAAATATTAATATATTTTTTTAAGATTAAAGAACATTTAATTGGAGAAGAATAACGTAGTAATCTTAGCTACTTAATAGTAGTAATCTTATAGTTATTCTTTTAATGCGTAAACAAAATTAAAATAATTAAAATTAAAAGAATGACACGCTTAAGAAAATTAGAACTTATAGATAAACTTGAGATAATTGATTAATTACGGACTGGCACTGATAGAATGAATATGATAGAGATCAAATATTTAAAAGCAGCATACAAACTTCATATCGAGTGATTTATTTTCGCAAAAATTTTTTTTTTGAAATTATTAAATTTAAAAAGAAAATGTTTGACTAAAATATATTTTAGCTTTATTAACGTAGGGCATTTCAATATCGTAAGTCATTTCAATAACGTGAGACGTTTCAATAAAGTTTCCAATTCATTACACAAATCAAAAATGTTTCTCATTCCTGAATTTCCTACATTTATGTCCATTTAGGTTTTATTTTTATTTCCTGTTTAACATTTTTAGGGAATAATTGTGTAATTTTTAATACGTATCGTAGAATAAGAAGGAATTACTATTATCGAACATTAAAACCTCTTACATTTAAATATTACATTTAAAAAAATGCTTTAAATGTCTTCAAAAAATATTCAAACCTTTTACGTTTACACGTTTTAGAAAAATAAACATGCCGGAAATAGAGTAAAAAAAATCAATTACTAATTTAAAGTTGAGGAGCTGTTTGTTGCACAAATTTAGACGATGTGTATAAGAAAGTTGAAATACGTTTTCTATTACGCTATTACCTAATACGCTATACGCTAATACGCTATACCTAATGCGTTATACGCTATTTACCTAAATAATTGGACCTGAAATCAAAGGCTAAAGAAAAACAGTCCTTTTAGTCATGTTAAATCACAACTGCTAATCGCTGATTTCAAATAGTAACACCTATAGTTATTCCATTGTAAGAAGACGATCGACCTTAGAACGCTGAGATCTCATAGAGAATTTCAACGCTGGCATGTCATTGTGCTTTTCCCGTGCCTAACAAAAACTGTCTAAACGTTCCGCAAAACCTCTATATTTTAGCTAAATGACTCGTACCATGATTTGTCTCTTACAATTGTCTTCAGATAATGAATGGACTATTATAATGACCATCGAATCGTTAACTTTAAAACTATTATTTATTGCAAGTTATTTAACTGCTAACCAATACATTTTTAAAAGAGTTCTTTAGATAAATAATCTTGAATTTTTACGAATTTAGTAACTCAAAATATATTTTTACGAAAATAGCTCTACGACTACATAATATTTGAATTTAGCATCTTTCATGATATCACAATCTCAAATGAGTATATTGGTTAGTGAAGATGATATATTAGCAATCAAAAAGTGTTAAACGGCTCTGTAATTTTTGATCTAAATTGAAATACAAAACCAATATTTTATATTTTATACTTTACTTGTTCATAAACAACATTAATATAGCCTCTAAAATGATTCCAAACTTTAGTAAAAAAGTTTCTTTTTGTTCTTTAAAAAGAATCATTTATAATAATAAGAGAGAGGAAAAAAATACCATTTGTTTAAAAAACAGTGTAGTTATTTACCAAGTTATTTTTTTTTATTATTGGTAACTTTTTCTTAAAATATATATAAAGTGGTTCAGTTCTAAAGCAAGGTTCATTTTGTCGCCATATTTTAAGTCTCTTCATATTTCGATAATATTATATGAAATGAATATTATTATTCTAAAACTGTATGAAAATGCCCAGTAAAACCAATAAAATGCATTTTTCTCACTTGAAAAAGTTCAATCGTCCACCTTTTCCAGCAATGTTCAACATCTCCTGAAATCCCCCAACATCGATAGATCCTTTGATAATAACTGACAATAAAGCAAAGAACATCAGTATAGATTGAAATACATCAGTCCACAAAACAGCTTTCATTCCACCCTATAAAATATATGATTAAACTCTAGATGCGTTGCCACTTAACATCTCATGTACTTAAACACAGTAATGGAGGTTTACTTTATAGTCAGTCCGGACTACTATTTTTACGATTTTTTTATAACATTTTTGTAAATTCAATGCCTAAACTATTATGGTGAATTCATCTCACAAATTACTTAAAATTATTGTTTTAAGGAATGTATCTCAACCACAAAATAAGCCACTTGCTGTTAGTCATGCTGCAAGACATAGTTTACGAGTTTAGTTTTGCTACTACTCACTCTCCGATGTTGTAGAAATTGTCTCGTTCTTTTTTCTTCTCTTTTTTCTTGATCCCATTGTTTATGCCGTTGTACTGTTTTTCAATTCATGCTTGTGTTACTAGATCATTTTTAGACTCTATAAGGTGCTCTATAATTACCATCATTACCCTTAATATATATTATTAGGATTAATTAAAAGTGAAGACAAAAATATATTGACATAGAAGCTCATAAATTAATACTTAAGTGAGAAAGAGAAACTATGTTGAAATCTGGGGAACTCCATTTAGAAAAAAATGGAATGTAATTTGAAGATATTTTTAATAATTGTCCTTGAACTTCTCAGAGTTTCTTCCATCAATCAAAAAATAATTCAGTATTTTGACCCTTCAGTTTTATTTTGTAAACCGAAGAGTGAATAATTTTTAAAATTCAGTTTTGACCAGGATTTTGAAAATATGTGTGAAAGGCAGAGGTTACAGAGCGCAATTAAAGTGATTCCAATAAATATTCGTAGATTTCCTTGCACAAAGTCATTACAAAAAATGCTTGTTACAACTCTTAAGAATAAATTACAACTGTAATTGATGCCAAAAGCTATGCATTTATAATTAAAATATTATTATTATAATTTAATTCTCTCGCATAACCCTTTTTTTAAAAACTCAATCTAATCAAAAATTCGAAAAAAGTAATATTTATAATCCCCGAAACAGCTCTTTAGCTTATTTACAGTAAAAAATTTTACAAGTTAGATTTCTTTAAAATCCTAACTTCATGATTTAGGATTTAAAATATAAATTTTTTTATAAACTTCTCCAATAAATTATGAATAATACATAAGAAATACTCATGAATATTATACATATAAGAACACTTAAATATCAATATTAATTTTGATTTATTACCATTATTTACCTAAGATTGAGATATAGATTTAGATTACTTTAGCAAGAAGTTAAACAGAAGAATTTTATTAGATTTTGCATTTTACTTGAAAACAAAAATAATTTGTTTTGCGAAGGAATTTAAGCAACTAAGACTGCTAGAAATAAATCAAGTTATCTATTTTGTAAATTAGAAAGGTTAAATTATATAAGGGTAAATCATGCATAAAAAACAAATCAATTGTAACTGCAAAATATTTTTTCATGAAAACAAATGTTACAAAAATATTCCTTTAATAAAAATATATTTTTTATTTGGCTTGAATTCGAACTTACCAAAGTACAATAAAAGGCACACACAATACCAACTAACAAAATGGATATAAAATGTGACAATCCACTAACGGCACTGAGAGCAATTGAAGGTGAATAGAGACCAACAGACATAAATAATACCTGTGAAAAAAAAGTATACATATATTGTAAGTATAAAAGCAAAAACTAGTTAATTATTTATTTAAAGAAGGTATTTAGGTTACAGTACAAAAAAATACTATTTTGATTTACTTTTTAGAATAATTTGTGTATTTTTAGTTAATTTTATAAGTTGAATATCTTCCAAATCCTTCCCCCAACCCAGACAGACAGACATGCATGCATGCATGCATATATATATATATATATGCATATATATATATATACATATATATATATANCTCGACTTCTGAAGTTAAAAACCTACCCCTTACTAGGAAATAAGGTGTTTTTGTGGTTGACAGATGTAAAAAATACACCTGATTTAGAAAATGAGGTCATGTTTTGCACCAAAAACGACCTTATTAATAAATCTCAATTTCTACCTCATATATATATATATATATATATTAAGCCGACCTAGCTGTGGCCGAGTGGTTAGCGTGCCTGACTGCGGGTTCGAATCCTGCTCAGGGCATGGATGTTTCTTTCTCTCTGTATTCTATGTCCTTTCTCCTTTGTGTGTGATTGTGTGAATGTGACCCGCCCTATAAACGGGTTTGTTGTTGTGCGACGTGGGCGACCCTGCTCCACCGCCGTGGCTTCGCCACAGGTGCCCACTGGGTAACGAGAAGAGAGTAGCAGTTCTGGCATTTCTGTGGCCAATGGGACAACCCCCAAGTGCCCGCCATTAAAAAATATATATATATATTTATTTTAATAGAATATAATTCTATAGTATAGTTAATTATCTGAAGAAGCCATTTTGTTTGCAGAATGCTTAATTTATTATTATTATTCAAATGTTTAAAATTGTTAACTTAATTCAAGAGAGGAAAAACCACGAGACAGAAAAAAATGAGCCAAGAGAAAACCTAAAAAGAACGTAGTGGTCAGCATGTTACCGAATGTCTCAGGAGGACGTATAAGTTATAGTTAGTAAGTAGTGAAATTTGAATTAGTCTCAAATATTAAATCTAAGAGGGGGGTGGCTCAGGGGATAGATCGTTCGCCTCCCAATTAGGTAACCCAGATTTGATTCCCAATCACCGCTAGGTGGCTGGTTTATACGAATTCTGATCCCGAATCGCACCGGCCACAGAGCTGGTATAAAATATCCATGGTGGACGATGGTTCATGGGTAAGAATCCCACTCAGATCGAACTATCCATGGGAGGTTTTTGTGGTTTTCCCTTCCATGAAACGCAACTCCGGATTAGTTTAAACAAAAAGTCCTCTACTAAAGTCATGCAGGTTGTTCCAATACTTGATCTAGGAGTGCTCTTGTCTTCTGAGTTGGAATCAAAATTATAAAGCTATGGAGTTGAATTGTGATAGTCATAAACTAAGAATTGGTTCAGCTGTTCAACGTTGGTTATAACATATAAAATATTAAATCTAGTAAAAATAAGATAATTTTTGAATTAGTGTTCATTGTGTTGATACTTTCGTATTGTTTGATTTTTCAAATTTTTATCAGAGTTTAAATAGCCATTCACCAAATACCTTGTGCAATTATAATTTTTCTAATAATCCTGATGAATGTTAACAGTTAATGTATCTTGATGTATGTTACTTTAACTCATTCTCTTTATGAAAGCTAATATCGTGTTTGACTGTGCACGGATGATTTCAAGGCTTAAAACTTAAGTATTTTACAATAGGAAAGCCTTAGCTCAATAAAACATTTTTTGGAAAATTTCGTTGCAATTTTATTTAAATTTATATAACGCAATAATTAACAATACATTACGAAGCTGTTAAGTACATTGTTAAAAAAATAGAAGTGTATTAGGAGAAAATACATTACTGGAGACTTCAAAAGTCACATAATTAAAAACCAATTTATTTCCTCGCTCTAAATGAATATTTATAATGGAAGTAAATTTTTAAGAATTTCAGAAAAAAGAAAATTTTTTATCATACGTACCATTTGGATTATAAATAAGCCAGATATAATAGTTCGAGTGGTTTTTCCAAATCTTCTTTCTAAGTACTACCATTGAAATAAAATTAATGGAAAAATATTAGTTAGACGCATTTGGAACAATTAATTATAAAAATATCAATTTTCATAATTAAATAATATATTTCTTATTTTAAAAATAATTTAAAATACTGATCTACACAATTCAATAAATAAAAATTGCAAAATCTGAGATTTGAACTTAAGAGTTTGCACTATATCCAATGTTATGGCTCTCTCTGCAAAGCAGGCAATTTTCCTAGCCACAATCAAATATAAATCCTAGAGCCTATTTCCAAAATCTTTAATAAAATGGATCAAATAGAAGAAAAAATCAATTTTATTTTTATTTTTCTTGGCAAAAAATTTTTTTGACTTACCCAAGAATACATACATAATAATAGTAAAAATTATTACGGGAATATTTATAGCATATTTCAACTACTACGTAAAAAAGCACTTTTAAGATTGCGTAAAAAAGCCAAAGTTGAATACTCATGTTTATTATTTTGATAGTTTTTAAATTTTCATTAATTTAAATAATTTCTTCATTTATAGCAGTACAAATAAAAAAATTGAAATTCATAACTTTTTTTGCACACTAAGTAGTCATAATAATCATCAAAAAGTTATTGAATGAAAATAGTTAAATACGTTATAATGAATTACTATTTAATATTTTCAAAACACTGCTCACTAAAAAAATTGTAAATAAGTAATTAAAGATTTTTTTAAAAATCCAGCATAAAAAATTATAATTAAAACTAAAATAAAAAAGACTAAATGGCTTTGGTAAATCATTCAAGGAATCAATCCAATTGAGTATATCTAAATTTTGGTTTATTCTGGGGAAAAAAGATTCAAGACTTATTTTATGCGTCCAAAAATGCAAATCAGTAGAAAAGGTTTATTTAATGTTGATTAAAAGCATATTTATTCAGAGATGGTACATTATTGTGCTAGGCTACATAAGGATCTCATTTATCATTTTAATAATATATATATTTTTTTAAAAAAAACTAACGCAACTTACCTCATATGCACTGGTGATTTTGATCCCAAAAAACACTGGCGTATGGACGAAAGTAACTAGTATCAATGCAACAGTGAATCCCAAAGGGTAAAGATAGAGCTGTGCTCCATAGAGGTAAATTTCACCAGGAAATCCTAGAGTACCAACGGCAGTTTGCACGGTGGCCATTAAGGAAATTATGACCGGTACTAGTCCCATATTTCTACCGGCCATTAAGTATTCACCTGTAGTCCTTTGTTTGCCACCAGAAAATCTGAAGTACACACCAATAGCACCCGATATTAGAAGCATAGTTGCTACTACAAGGTAATCCCATACTTCGAATACTTCTCGAGTAGCCATGTTTATGCAATAACAGCACTATTCTCAGAAAACCTACAAATAAAAAGATATTTGTATTTTTTTCGAGGTAAAATATCTCACTGGTAAAGAGCTTATTTGAATAAATGTACCAACTACACTTATTTAAAAACATGGCGTTAGTTCTATTTTCAAGATCATATAAATTACTTCTACTTTATTTTAAAGCTATACTTTTTTTTAAATAGAGTAGGTTCCACAAGATTACGTGTTATGCGATTTTTTGGATCTTTTACACGAGGGGTGTCAAACTCAAAAGCTAACTTGGGCCAAATAAACAATGCTTAACTTTAGGTGGGCCGTAAAAAAAATCAATGTTCATAGAAACAAATATTTTTTATTTTGAATAGTACATTGTAATAAAAGTTAAATTATTTTTTACGTTCTGATACTTGACATCTCTTCTCTGCTACTATCTTTACTATTTTTAGGAGAAATTTTATTGGCCGAGACTACTTTCAAAATTTACTCAACGTGAGCGTTATTAATACGGTTTCGGACAGGAGATTTATTTCCATTCCTAACAGAAAATAATTGCTCTCAATGATAAGTACTTAATTAAAATAATTCTATAATACTAAATAATTTCATATGCGAATTTTCGAGTATTTTCAAACCTTGCGGTAAATATTCGTAAAATTCAAGCACATCCACTTCAATGAATTTTGCCTTCAGATTTGAGTCGTACTGAATCTCAATAACTTCCATTTCCATATAACTGGGTACTATATTTACTGAGAAAATATTTCTATAGTCTATATTTATTGAGAAAATCGAAGAAAACAAACAAAATTTGTCTTCCAAAGAATTAAAATCTTTAAAACTTGTTTCAAAATCTGTTCTAAGGTTTGAAATTTTTTTCTGCTTATTTTTGTTACGATGCAGTATCATCTAAACTAGATTTGTTCTTGTTGTACGTTGGGAAGTGCGTTAAATCTTCATATTTTAGTTGCCTTTCCCAAAGAAATAGTTTATATTTGAATACTTTAATTATGTCAAACATGTTTGTAATGATCTGATCCTTGCTTTGTAACAATAAATTTAAATCGGATAAGTGTTTGGTTTTATCAACCATAAAAGATAAATCTTGCACCCATATTTAATCGGAGAACAAGCTCGCATCTTGATTTTTAGTATGTAAAAACTTACATATTTCTTCTTTCGAATCCCAGAATTGTTTGAGAACCTTGAGGCAAGATAACCAACTTATCTCGCTGTAGTAGGATAAACCTGAATATGTACTATCCAATTGATAGCTTAATGTGAAACGGCCATTTCAGCCAATTTGAATTTTATATTTTCGCGCGTACAATTTAAAATATTCCGTATAGTTTATAAATAAAGTATATTATAATTTTATATGCTGGTTTCGTTTCTAATTTACAATTTCAAATTATTTTTACTTTGCTTCGGATATATTGACTGGGCCACAAAAATATTCATATCGGGCCACATGCGGACCGCGAGTTTAACACCCCTGCTTTACACTTTTCCTTTCTTGATTTTTGCAAATCTCACTTTTTCTCATCAAATATATATATATTCGAATTCTTATTGAAACATACTGCAGTGAGAGAAAGAGAGCTTTTTCCGAAACCATGGTAACGGAGAAAAGAAAATTATTGAGAGTGAGGTAATTATGTAATCTTAAGACGCCTATTCAAATTACAAAGAATAGCACACCTTAACCACTTGCTGATCACTGCTGGTTTAACAAATCGACCAGAATGAAAAGCTTCATTTTGCTGAGCATTGCGGGTGCTTACATTTACATGTTAAGGGGAACATCAGAAACTATAATTTTATACAAGTTTTTTTTTTATGAATAAAATTATTATGCATGAACAATCGATAGTAAAAGTGATACCTAAACTAATTCTCTCCCTAATTTTCGTCAATTAAGCAATTTTCTATTATAGTGATTTTTAATTTAATTCATTTATTTACTTCTCTAATTTCAAAATAAAAACTAGATTTAAACTATATTTCTTTTAAAGTTATTTTAAGATGATTATTTTGAAAATCCCTTGGTTATATTCTATGTTAAACCAAATGACAATTTGCCAGGTATAGCCTAAAATGATGTTTCATTAAGACTAAGAGCCTTACACTATACATAAATTTTAATACTGCAAGAAAATATAATTTTATTGCATATATAATCATTTCTCCAATGCCTCAAATTTATTTCTGGCATAAAACGTTTCTACAAGTATATATTATTCCTGGTCAAGCAGAAGCTTATCGCCGAAATAGTGCTAGGCTATTATGAATTGCACTCTCAAAAGTCGATGCGAGGAACTAAAAGCGCAACCTACTAGAAGAAGGTTAACCTTAGAAGCGCAACCTTCTTATAGAAGCACAATTCGCATACGGTTAGGAATGATGGTTACAATTGAAGCAATTACTGAGTGTAGTGATATCTGCAGAATCACCTGAAGTCAGACAAGACAGGAGGGACTAATCAAATAAATAAACGAAGTCTAATGCATTATACTTTAAGCCTATGAATCTCATTATGAACAATGATGAAAGTTGATTTACTATTTAAAAAAGGCCTTCATGATTTTGTAACATAATGAAGATAAATTTTGTAAACACTTATTATTATATTAATTAGTAATTTATGTTAAGCAAATGTTCTCATGTTAAATGAATGCTAACTCTTAAAATTTGGTTGTGCAATGTAGAGTTTATTGGGACATTGATGAGTCAAACTACAACATTACCATCCTAACGAAATTCTGCGAAATTATAAATAGCGTTCGAAATAGCAATAATATGTGGTAATATACAAAAGAAATATAATCATTTCTCCCCAAAAAACAAGTTATAGCGGATGTTTCGGTGAGAATTTTCGAGTAATTCTTTCTTCAATGAATAACAAGAAAATTTTTTTTTCTTTTTCCTTTGATTGGCCGAAAGGCAAAAAAGCTGAATTTCCACGTGAGTAAATTTTACGCACGTGTAATCGTTTAATAATAAATTCCAGACAATTTAAGATAATAAATAACAATGTGTTGACATAAAATTGTGTACTAATTTAGTATATAAATGATTACATCGATACTTAACATCTAGTAAAAATTAAGATTACCAATTGAAAAAATAAGGCTATGACTTTATATTTTTCCTCAGTTCACATAAGAGAATAATTATTTGAGAAACTGCCTGGTTTAGCAAATTAAAACTACTGAGAACATACATTAATATTTCATTTCTTTTAATAAATACTGCTACGTGATTTATAGCAAATATATCAGTAACATGACTTTTAAAATTATTTAAACAAGAAAATAAACTTTTACAATTGGAATCACTATGTTCATATTATAATCTAAATTAGCTGGAGCTCTGTGAAACAAATCAATAACTGTGAAGTAGAAATATATAGTAATTCCTTAACGAACAAAAATTGCTATTTTAGATTGAAAAATTACATGATAATCAGCAACTGTTTAGATAATTATGTTTCATTTGATAAGAATTTTGCATTTTATAGCATGAATAACAGCAACATTATTTTTTAAATTATGGATTTTGGTGCTGAGTAGCTCTTTTTCCAAAAAAGAATTGAATCACTTTTTAAGTGATTGCTTTCGTTTGCTATATTTTTTATGTTTGCACTATCCTTTTTTTTATTTTTGTTTAATTTCCGATTTCTGCAAATGCTTCATGTTTCACAAAACAAGGAAAAAATTCCTTTAATATGGTCAAATTGCTTGTAATGCAACTTGTGAATGAAGGGTCCTCCAGTTGGGAAAAGTTTTATATATTTCTGTAATAATAGCAAAGCTGACACAAGCAGATTGAGGATCAATTTAGTAGTTAGCTCATCTTCAGACATCTTTTGACAAATCCTACTTTTTCTTCTTTGCAAGAACGGAATGTTAGTTTTGAATATATTTTCTTCCAGTTTCGCTGATGCTATAATGGCTACATGTACTAGTAATTGTCGTTCGAAAAACACTCACCTTTATAGTAACTAATTTAAGAAAAAAAAAAGCTTACTTCTTACAAGAATCGCGATAGTTGATCTTAAAATCACGTGAATACAAATTGCGATCTTGGATGTCGTGATGTCTTGGATCGAATGAATATGAATCACGATAATGGATTTTGAAATCACGTGAATATGAAACTAGATATTCTATTTTGAAAATGAGAAAATACAAACTGCGATGTAGAATTTTTAAATCACGTAAATACAAATTACGATTCATAATTTTTTGATCGTGTAAATATAAATCATGATGCGTAATTTTTGGAACGCGTAAATGCGAATCCCAATGCCTCATTTTAAATCACAATGCGAAAATCAATGCTTGATATTATTACCGCATGAGCGAATCACGACATAGGATTTTAAACTGGCGTGACATACGAATTGCTACACGGTTTTTTAAAAACGTGTACAGACTAATCGCGATATCGGAATTTTAAATCACGTAAATACGAAAAGCTATGTTTGATATTAAAATCGCGTGGATAAGAATCGAGGTATTAGCTGATTCCGGGCTTGGGACTTCTAAAAGGCTTGTTTGAAGCAGCGTCGTCTGAATTACGAAAATACGAGCTATCTGGCGGGCGAGTAAAAATGCGTAAAATCTTATCTTCTGTACGCAAACGCGGAGAAAATAGCTAAAATAAGTGAAAATGCTGATGGGTTGGTAGCTATGTAGTTTGAATTTTCTGTTTATCTTTGAAAATCGGAAATAAATATAATTATTTTATTTCAAAGGCTGAATTTTCTGAAAAAGCGGAATAGTCATAAAAAAAGTGAAACTTTTAGAGAATCAGAGTTTTCGATAAAAATGCTGAATTTCGAGAGACAAAAGTGAAAAAAGCGGAAATCCGCTAAAAAGCAGAAAAATCTCATCTCTGAATTTGAAACTTTATTATCAACCAGCAACTGATCATAATTATCGAAAGGAAAGAAAATTATGCCATCTGTTATGCAATTTTTAATTAAAACCATATCGTTTATAGCTATTATAGATTTTTAAATACATACC